CGATGCTTAAGGACGGGGATGCATCTAATGTGTATGGAAGAGAGAGAGAGAGAGAACAAAAACACGAAGGGAGAACGCGAGAGAGGAAATAAAACGATAAGGATGAAGACCAAGCTGAAAGCTCGTAAGAACTCCTCTGGCGAAATTCCAGCCCAATGCCGTTTGCCACAAGGATGGAGTTCAGAGGAGCATGCTCGGGAGCTATTTTTTGTGAAGAGGCTGGCGAAGAGTGGGAGAGAGAGAGAGAAAGAGAGAGAACATGAGATGGAGAAAGAGAGCAAGAGAGAGAGAGGGATGGATAATAAGAACAAACATGGTATCACGATTGAGAGAACGAAACAAACACAAAAGCACGGTAACCAACCACTCAAAACAGTGAGGTCAGCCACAATCCCGCGGCACCTCTTCCTCCACCTTCTCCTCCCAACAATTCCTGGTCCCCCTCCTCCTTGTCGCACCCCCAAGGCCAGTCGGAAAGGCGGGCCAGACGTTTCGCCTGAGACCTCCTTACGATTTATGGTCCTGAAGGTATTGGCAACCGTTTCGTAGATGGAGAGCGGGTCGTTTCCATAATGTGTTTCTCGCCTCAGCGCCGCGCACACTCGTTTTTGAGCATTTCGCAGAGTGAGGGCGGGCCGTTTTCAACCTGTGGCTCTCGGCTTAGCACCGCGTGCATTTGTTACGCATTTGAAGGAATTTCAATGATTGACAGCGGGTGGTTTTCTAAATGTGACTTTCGCCTGAGCGCCGCGCACACTCGTTTCAAACATGTGCAAGATTTTCATTGAAGGTGGGTAAATTCTAAAATGTGGCTCGCGCCTCAGCGCCGCTCACATTCATCTCAAACAGTTGCAAAAGTTTCACCGGATGCGGGCGGGTGGATTTCAAAATGTGGCTCTCGCCTTGGCGCCGCACGCTCATTTGAACAAATTAACGGGATGTTGGCAGTTCGTTTTCAGAATGTGGCTCTCCCCTTAGCGCCGCGCACAGCCGTCGTTAACATTTGCAAGAGCTTCAGGGACTCCCATGGTCAACGTAGCAGAAACGGTGTTTTGGAACGGCTCAGGATTGTCAGGGCGCAGCAGTTACTGCGTTGCAGTCCCAGGAATGGTGTTCTGGCACGATCCCACCCCCAGCCAGGACCCGTACTTGCGACCTGGCAATCCAGGATCCAAGGTGTCCTGGGCTCGGATTTTGACAGTCGTGTGGCCTCTAGGGACATGAAAAAACGCTCCACCCTTTCAGGCAGGAGTCCCTGGATCACCAGGTCGGGAGTGGGGGTCTTGGCTGGTGGTGGAGGTGGGTTGTGCTGTCCAGTGAGAACTGGCACAGAACCACAACCAAGTGGAACAAGACATGCTGGCATTGAGCCAAACAAAAAGCTCAAGACCGAAGACGAAGCCACACAGAAAAACCTCTCGAATTTCGGTGTCCGCACCCATCGTCGCAGCCGCGATGTGAAAGTGATATCCCAAGATCGGGCCCAGGATCGGTGTATGGTCGTTCCTGGCCAGGGTTGGTGCAGGCGTACATCGGGTGTTGGGGGGGGGAGGTCGCAGAGGAATGGAGGGCCCCCCCACCAGGAAATCGGTTTTGGTTTCGTGTCGTGCGTGCGGGCGAGGCGAAGCTGCGTGGGCGCGCGAAAGGAACGATCCCGCCGTCGCCAGGGCGAGTCGGATACAAAAGTCCAGCCCTCCGGAGGGCGTGCGGTGGCTGGGGGTGTCCCGCCGTGGTGTCTCGCGGTGTCCCGATGGTGTCCCGCGGTGTCTCGCCGTGGGCGCGCGAGAGGAATGATCCCGCCGTCGCCAGGCCGATTCGGATGTAAACGTCTGGCCCTCCGGTGGGCGCGCGGTGGCTTGGGGTGTCACGCCGTGGAGTCCCGCGTTGTCCCGCGTTGTCCCGATGGTGTCCCGCGGTGTCCCGCCGCGGTGGCCCGATGGTGTCTCGTGGTGTCCCGTGGTGTCCCGTGGTGCCCTGCAGCGTCCCAATCTTGTCCCGCGGTGTCCCGCGTCGTCCCGCTGGTGTCCCGCGGCGTCCCGCCTTGGTGTCCCGCCTGGGTGTCCCGATCGATAGAGGTCGATAGCGGGGTCGATGGTGACATCACATCGCGGCGCACCATCGTCATAACGCGTCGTTGCCAACTCGAGGGCGCGCCACCAGCATCGTCATCACCACACCCGTCGCAGTTGCCAGCAGTTGGTTCTTTCCCCTCCCCCCAACCTCCTTATCACCCGAAGGGTGGTCGTATAAGTATAGTTGGCGCCCTTCGATCGGAAGGGGGAGGGCGAGGGACCGCTGCGTCGTCGAGGGATCGCCGAGAAGGGCCTCGGGGGGACGCCCAGACGTTGCAAGACACGGGTTTGACAGGCCAGGTGGAAGAACGTGCATCGGTCTCGTCATGGTCTGCACTCGCTCACGTCGAGACGCACTCTGCATTTCTGGCCAGATATGTGTCGTACGCACTTCATCCGTCACCCTCAAAGACGGGGGCCAGAGGATGAGGCCACGGAGGAGCGCTGGCACCGACCCCAAGGAGAGACACCAGCCGACACCGATGGAAAGCCTCCGGCCAACAGAAAACAAGACGCGACGCCAGCCGAACGAAGCTGGTGAGAGGCGAGGAGAGGGGAGCGAGGTGCTGCGGGCCGCGAGGCACTCGCTGCACGAAGGAGGGGGTGAAGCATTGACGAGACGAACCGAAATATCCGACGTCGCGGCTCGCGCGCGAATTAATGGGGGGGCGATAGATGGGGGGGGCAGAACGGTGCCCTTTTGGGGCTCTAGAGGCCCCCTCTTTCGGGTCCTAAAGGCTCCCCTTTGGCGGTCCTCAAGGGGCCCCTTTTGCGGTAGCCCTCGCTGCCCCACCGTTTATCGCCCCCCCATTGCGCGTCCTCCGACCGTTTCCTGAGGCCGGTTTCTCCTCCTTGAGCCGTTCTTGTTGGCGGCTCCTGGAGCATGGTGACGGGGCACCCGAAGGCCGACAACGGCCCAAGGCCGCCCGTCGTGACCATTCAACGACGAAAGGAAATCAGAGCTAGATGGTTTTCGGCTCATACCTCCGAACCCCCAGAGCGTTCTCGGCGAGGCGCGGCTGCTGGAAAACACCGCGAGGCGAGAGCACCTCCAAGGGCCGACGGAAACTTCCCAAACTCTCGGAGACTACAGCCGAGAGTTCGACCAACAAACATATCATTTAATAAACCTGGGCCAACTTCCCAGAATTTTTTCCCAACATACCTGGGCCAACTTCCGTGGTAAACGCTGGATGGGGCGAATGTGCTTCAACAAAAACTGGGCCAATTTTCCAGCACGTTGACCATCAGATGCTGGCCCGGCTCTTCGGGAGGAGATCTCGGAATCAGATGCTCCTCCTCCTCCTCCTCCGCCACTTCCTCCTCCTCCGCATCCTCCTTCTCCTCCTCCTCCTCCTCCTCCTCCTCCTCCTCCTCCTGCTCCTCGCCCTCCTCCTCCTCCTCCCCAAGAGAGCCGACGCCGAGGAGAGCCTGCCGGCGCGCCGAGCAGCTCACGGCGCGCCGGAGGTCGCTGGGAGGCGACGCCCCTCGCCGAGAGTGCTGCGCTGCGCCTCGCCGCCCTGCGCCCCTCTGCGCCCTGCCCCCCGGGGGCGGGTCCTCGGCCGCGTCCCGCGGCTGCACGTCGCCGGACCTCGGCGGCTCGCCACCGTCCTCGCTCTGTGCCTTCCGCCCCTCCTCGTGCTCCTCCTCCGCGTGATCCTCCTCCTCGTGTTCCTTTTCTTCCTCCTTTGCCTTGTTTTTTCTCCTTCTTTCCTTTTTTGCCTGCTCCTGCCTCCTTCCTCGTCCCTCCTCACGGTCCTGCTCCCACTCCTCTTCCTCATGGACCTCCTGGTCGTCGTCGTCGTCGTCGTCGTTCTCATCCTCCTTCTCCTCCTCCTCCTCCTCCTCCTCCTCCTCCTCCTCCTCCTCCTCCCCTTCTCCTCATCCTCGTCCATGTTTGATGTGCTTCGATGTGTCTGGCCCTTTCTGGACCTCTGTAGGCCTCCGCAGACCTTCTCATTTACCTCCTCCTCCTCCTCCGACTCCGCCTCCGCCCCCTCCCTCCTCCGACTCCTCCTCCTCCGACTCCTCCCCCTCCTCCGCCTCCTCCTCCTCCTGCTCCTCGCTCCTCGCCCTCGCCTCCCCCTCCTCCCTCCTGCTTCCTCCTGCTCCTCCTCCTCCTCCTCCCTCCTCGTTGTTCCTCCTCTCCTCCTCCTCCTCCTCCTTCCCCTTCCCTTCCCCTCCCCCTCCTCCTCCTCCTCCTCCTCCTTCTCTCCTCCTCCTCCTCCTCCTTCTCCGCCTCCTCCTCCCTCCTCCCTCCTCCCTCCCGCCCTCCCCCTCCTCCTCCTCCCTCCTCATCCTCCCTCCCTCCCTCCTCCCGCCTCCCGCCTCCCGCCTCCCGCCTCCCTCCTCCCTCCTAGCTCCTACCTCCTACCTCCTACCTCCGACCTCCGACCTCCTACCTTCTACCGCCTACCTTCTATCTCCTCCTCCTCCTCCTCCTCTTCCTCCTCCTCTTACTGCTCCCTCCTCCTGGTCCGTCATACATCACCCGATCTCAGTCGCCTGGAAACTCTTGGTAAAACTGGGTGGGGACTGGCGAGACTTGGGGCCACCAGGGCGAGGGGGCGGGGAAGGGGGGCGGGAAAATCAGCGGCTGGGCATAAGGAAAAAGAGCACCGTATCGTTCCGTAGGACGGCCCTACACGCACGCGGGGTACGGCGGTGGTGGCGCCGTGGGGCGCTGGTAAGCGTGGAAACAGATGAAGGAGCAACCCACGGAGGCGGGAGAGCAGCAGCGCAGCAGCTTTGACCCGCGTGTCTGGGCAGCGCAAAAAAAAACGAGGAGGAGGAGGAGAAGGAGGAGGAGGAGGAGGAGGGCGAGGAGGAGAGGGAGGAGGAGAAGGAGGAGGAGATTTGCTGGATGCCTGCCGTTAGGCATCCTTATAGCAGTCCGCGCCCCCTGTGCTATGGGAGGGCAATTTTGGTATTTCGCTTGGCTCCGATGCGTCGCGCCACCATACCGAGTGCCAAGCCCGGCGCCTTTAATAAAATGACGGTGGGCGCATGTGCAATCGATTTTGGGTCGAGCGCGATCTGGCCAGAACGTTGCTCCTGCAAAACCAGAACGCTACTGGCGCCGAGCTGCTGCATGGACTCGGCCCAGCCTTCACAGAACAGCTCCAAGAGCCAGTCCTCGATACCCGCCCGCGCGTAGAAACCGACCATCGCGGGCCACGTGAGCGGGTCCTTGGGCAACGCGCCGCCGCACAATCTAGTCGATCATGCCCCAGGCCGCCCGGCACCAGCGGTCGAGGCCCTGCCCGCCCCCGTGGGCCACCGTGTGGGCCAAACGCTGCAGCTGCTTAGAACACCCAGGCACCGCGTCCTCGGCGAAGCGGCGCGGCGAGACTGGCTCAAAACTCAGCCGAATGGCGAGGCGCGCGCGGTCGAGCGGCGCGGGGACCCAGTGATCCCCAGCCAGGAGCCTGACGTTCATGTCCTCGCTGGCCACGCCGCAGAGCAGGCACCCAGAGGCCAGCACCGGCCAAATACATTGCGTCCTGCATTCTCCCCCCCTCCTCGTCCGTCTACAGCGGAAGCCAATCCACAAGAAACCTCCCACAAGAGACTCAACCCTGAGACCACAGGACGTCCATGGATTTTTTTTGTGGGAGCGTCACGCTTTCCATCGCAAAACCATCGAATGCCAAGACATCCAGGGCACCCTAAGAAACCCAGGGCACCCCGGAGGCAAGCAGGGTGTTTCTTGGCATGGGCCCCCGCTGTAACTCCTCGGCCAGGCCCCGCGCCCCATCTGGGCGCACCCTGGGCCCACGAAGTCCTCGGGCCACAGCGGCTACGGAGCAGGCGACGGCTCCTCCGAGCCCGCCCGCGAGGCCCGAGACTGATAGATGCCGCCCTTTCGGCCCGGGGGCCCGCCTCGCCATTCCTCCAGGGGCGAACGGCAGCGCGGAGTTCTGCTTCTCCCTCGGACTCGGCCACAGCTGACTACACGCAGGAGCGACCCCAGGCAAGAGCAAACTTTGGTGCGCGGCTTTCCGGGGGGAGCCGAATCCAAACGCGCAAGTCAGTGCTGGGGGGACTTTTGGCACGGATCGACTGACCCGGGTCAATCCAGAGCTGGGCCACTTAGGCTCTGCAGGACCCGGCAAACTCCTACAGGATCCTGCGCCCGAGCCCGGGTGAATGCACCCCAGGCCCTGCAGGACCCTGCGAGATCCGGCGCTCCGACTGACCCCCGCTTGCATTGACCCCTGTTTCTTGAGCCCCGATCCTGTGGGCCCACACCGGCAGCCACCCCGGCGAAGGTTTCCTTGTACGCAAGGCCGAAGCCTCGACCTCCTCAAGGGGCCCACTGGGCGCCCCGGACCGCCAGACAGCGTCGCAGCGCGGCAGAGGCGGCCCGCACGCGCCCTCGGGCGGTGTGGGGACACGGAGCGCAAATTATCTGGCGGTAAGGAGGAGACGAGACAGGCGAAAGCGGCCGCGGGGGAGGGGATGGCACTCACATGGCGAGGCGCGTCGCCGTGGAGCGGCCAGGGCGGCCAGCCAGTGCTGCACCCCTGGCAGCGGGCGCGGGGCGGCGTCGCGGCCACAGCCAGGGGCTGAGGCAGCTGGACCGCCGGACAAGGAACTGCGACAAGAAAAGACCGTGTGGTGATGGTGCCCAGAGCTCCGAGGGCCCACGCCATGAGAAAAGCATCGTGGCGCCGGATGTCTGAGAACCAGAGACTGGGACTGGCGGTTTCGTATGCGTGGCCAGCGGATCCGCCCTCCTGCTCGGGGTCTCGATCCGCTGAGATTTCGAGAGGCGCGCGAGGCCTCGCTGCAGCCCAGGTGAGGTTTCTGATTGGCTTTTCCGCCGTTTGGGGGCACGCCTCTCCCAAGGCGGCTGGGAGCTGTGTGCCTCGATGGTGGGAAGTGTGAGCATGTGATCCAGCCGCCATGGGAGCAGCATCGGCGGTGGCGGAAAACGTGCTGCTATCTGGGCTGTGAGCACGGTTGGGGATCTGGTAGACTGGCATGCCTCCGATGAGGAGATTGGGCAGGGCAAATGTCTTACAGTAACTGAGAGGGCCAATTTGTAAACGCACTTCTAGGTTTCGTGCCTCAGAAAGAGAGAAAGGGAGAAAAAGAGAGAGAGAGAGAGAGAGAGAGACAGAGAGAGAGAGAGAGAGAGCTGTCATTATGCACTCCCCTCCCTTCTCCACCTGCCTCTTTCCCTCTCTCCTGCCCCCATTGGCGCGATGCCCAAACACAGAGCCGACCGCTCTCTCCGTGGGACACGCCGACTCGCTTCGCACACTCCGCTGCCTCCGCGGGAATGCACCCGCCCGATACGTGGGCGCCCCCCGATCCCTGCGCTCTTCTTGTGGAGCTGGGTGTACCCGTGCCCGCGGGCAAGCTGCGGAGCCCAGTGACGATTTGACTCGTGGGCCCTGCGCACACACACACACCAGAATCTGCCGTCCCAGAGAGCAGCCTTTATGGTCCCAGCTTTGCTCCGTGCCTTCGAGAAGCGACCATATCCATGCTCGTTTTTCGTCTTCCGCCTCTGCAAGAATCTGTGGACCAGCCCAAGCGATCACTTGTCCTGGAAGGAGCGACGGCATGCATCGAGGCTTCTGTGAGGCCACCCGCCGCAACAATCTCGCTCCTTGTCCGCGGACCTCTGTGCCGGCAGCCAGGCGGTCCACCCCCGCCTGCAGCTAAGGGTGGAGCTCACGGTGAAATATATGCTCACGCGCATGCCGCACTGCAGGGCTGGGCATCACGCGGACGCCCCCAACTGTGGAAGGCCCTCCATCAAAGAGACATGCTTCCGACTACCGCCGTACTCTGGACTCAACCGACGACCAGAGCATGCGCACACACGCGAGGAGATCCCCTGGAGGCCTCCCACATGGGGCCCGAGCAGACGGTGTCGGAGGATCGCGCCGCCAATGCATCGCCGATGCATCGGCTACGTCGGCGATGCATCTGCGCCGTCGACGTGGAGAAGATCGGGCTCCGCATCGAGCCGCATCGCCGATGCGTCGGCGATGCGGCGCGATTCTCGTGCACCCCATCTGCTCGGACCCCTTCCAGGAGGCCTGGGCCTCCCCGTAGGTGCCCCAAAGAGACCGTCCAGGAGGCCTCCCCAGAGGCAGCGTCCAGAGGCCTTCCGAGGCCCAAAGGGGCCCCATAGGCAGCTGAAAACCTGGAGTGATCAGCAGCAGGAGGAAGAGGGAGTCCTACTCCTCCCCCTCCTCTCCCTTCTCCCCCTCCTCCCCTTCCTCCTCCTCCTCCTCCTCCTCCTCCTCCTCCTCCTCCTGTGTTTTGCGTAGGACTCTGGACCAGGGCCAGAGCCCGAGCTGCAGGATACGTCAGTGACGGCAGGTGCTCACTCTGTGGCGAGCCTGATGGAGTCAGGCACCGCGTCTGGAAATGTCGGCATCACGATGCTGTCCAAGCTCGGCAAGATGCGGCTGTCGATCACCCCGAATGGTTGCTGGAGGCGACCGAGAGCACGGATCACTGCTTCTGGGACGAGCTCAAGATGGACCATCCTGGGTCGAAGCTCCCTCCCCCCAGTAACGACCCCAACCCGAAGCTGTTCAATCCCGAGGGGCAGGAAATTGTTTGGGACTCCATTGACCTCCAGGGCCTTGACATTTGTATGGACGGTTCTTGTGCTCGTCATGTTGTGAGGGAGTTGTCATGGGCCGCCTACGCTTGGGTCTTTTTGGACCCGACAGGGTCAATTGTTGCTTATGCTCAAGGAACGGTGCTGGACGTGCTCCAGCAGACCCCGCAGGCGGCCGAACACCAAGCCATGGCGCTGGTACCTTTGTTTGTTGAACGTAGCGGGGATCGTTATTCGGACAGTGCCACCGTTACTAAGTTGTGTAACGCACCAGTGCAGCATCATATATCGAGTAGACACCGCTACGCGGGAATGCGACGTGGGGCTTCTCTGCATGAGAAACAGGGCCATGAATACAGTGTTATTCACACGCCTGCCCACCGCTCTCAAGCGGTCATCGATAGTCTCCCAGGGCCTGAGAGAAGGATCGCTATAGGTAACCAAGTCGCTGATACTTTAGCCAAGCAAGCCCTCCTCCTCCACCCTCAGGCCTCTCCTGCGGAGTACCAAGAAGTTAGCGATGATATTGATACATTAGTGTTCGCGGCCAAGGTCATGGCCAAAGTTTTGTGCGTTTTCCCCGTCGAGAAATTCGAGCGGCCCCAGTCTGGACCGAGATGTAAGTTTTTACGGACTGGAGGCTGGCACCACCGGGAAAACCTCGAAGCGGCCTGAACTGGGCTGCCGAGGGCCGAATCGCACTTGGAAAGGGGTTCTCGACTTCACCAAAGGACACACTCTTGCGCACACGTTCGTCACGCGCAAGCATAAAGTTTCTAGCATGATGTTTTGCACCACGTGCGGGGCGTACACGTCCCGACGATGCTTCAAGCTCGGTCAAGAATGTATCGGCAAGAGGCTTCCAGGGGCTAAGACGACCCTCCCTAGGATCATGGCTGGCCTCCACCCTCACTATAGAAACGAGGATGATCGTGTTTCGGCCACTTCTCGAAGGGGAGTGAAATATCTTTGTTACGCGGCCACCACTCCGCCTCCCCCAGAGGTCTCAAGGCCTGCTTTCGGGATGGAGGGACTGGTTCAGACGCCTGGGATGCTGGCGGTTCTGGCGCGCATCCAGGCTCGTGAAATGGCGCGCGGGAGTAACCCACAGCCGACTGACAGAGTTGACAGTCCAGCTTGATTTTGCGGCGCAAGGACGCCTGTCATTTGTTACTTGATTGCACGGCCCGGTGCGACTGACCCTTTTGGCAGGCATCCGTGCTAAACCCCACATCTGGGGCGAGTCTGGCAGCCGTCCTGGCGCTTCCTGCACCAGGGGTTTCTGGCCTCGTCGTCCTTGTGTGGGTGGTCGATTCTTCCCAGCGGCGAGGGTTCGCCTTTTCGTTTATGCTCAGCACGGCCCGATGCGGCTGGCCCTTTTGGCAGGCATCCGTGCTATACCCCACATCTGGGACGAGCCCGATGGTCGTCCTGGCGCTGACTGCACCAGGGACCTTAGGGCTCGTCGTCCTTGTGTGGGTGGTCGAATCTTCTCCAGTTTGTTGGTGTACGTTCTCGTTGTGCGTGCGCCCGTCGTGCACGCGTGTCAGGCGCCCCACTTCTGGGGGAAGGAGCATGCACACCTAGGGTGCGCGTCTTCTCGTTCCGAGCACGGGGATGACTTCGTCCTGACAGTGGCTCTTCTGGTGTTGCTGCGGCCCTTGAGCTTTGGTTCAGGGCCCCAACATCTCCTGTCGCTCGCGTGTGGCGCGCGTCTTCGTGCACGCGTGTCAGGCACCCCATTTCTGGGGGAAGGAGCATGCACACCGAGGGTGCGCGTCTTCTTTTTCCGAGCACGGGGATGACTTCATCCTGACAGTGGCTTGTCTGGTGTTGCTGTGGCCCTTGAGCTTAGGTTCAGGGCCCCAACATCTCTTGTCGCGTGTGTGGGGCACGCCTCATTGTGTAGGCTGCCTCCGTTCGGCTCTCGCAGAGGGAGCGGCCTCGCGCCAGGTCCACATGGCCTTGCCCCATCCGCGGGCAAGGCCCCGCTCGCTATGCCGACGGACGTGGACTTTGGATTGTTTGTGAGGGCTGTGCGTGACCTAACAAGTTGGTCACCGTGCATGGCCTCGTCTGGCGCACGTATCGTGCGCGTGTCGGCGAACTGTCGCCGCCCTCGGTCCTGCCCACTGGCTCGCAGAGGAAAAATCCTCCTCCTCCTCCTCCTCCTCCTCCTCCTCCTCCTCCTCCTCCCTCCAGGAAAGGGCGG